GCTGCTTTCTTATCTCCTGGAGGCCCAGGGCCATCTCCCCCCACAGCTCTGAGCCCTGGCCCTGCTAATTGCCTGTTAACCCTGTGGGCTCTGTGAGTGCAGGGAGGATGAAGAGGTGGGGAGAGCTGGGGGAGAATGCAAGCCAGCTAGCTAGGGAGAGCTTTCTGGAGAAATGGGAGCTGAGGATAGATGGAGCTTTGAGGGCTGAGAGAAGCCAGTGCTGCCTACTGAGAGGAGCAAGCTCTGGACAGATGTCTCCCTGCCCCTGATCAGAGTCTCAGGCACACCCAGAGAGAGGCCAGGGAGAAGGAAGGGGGAAGGTACTTGGAGAGGGGTTTTTGGCACCACAGATGGTGGTGGGGACCTTAGGCCCAGGAAAAAGTCTAGGAGGAGAGCAAGAGACAAAGACGACAGCTAGATGAAGGGGTGGCTGGAGAAGAAAACAAATGGATAGAGACGCAGAAGGCAAAGATCAGAAAGGCCAGGGGGCTTTCGGGCCTATAGGAGAGAAATACTGGCCAGGGGCTGGATGGGCTGACAGAGGGCAGGGGACAGAGAAACAGAGTCCAGGTGGACAGTTGAGCAGGTGCTAGGGGCAGATAGGCCAGGGGTGGAGGAGGACCTGAGAGAAGCACTGAGATCAGCAAGCACAGGCTAGGGAGCCAGACAGACCCAGGCCGGGGGCCAGGCCAACAGGACAGGGAAGGTGGTCAGAGCGGGACAGGCAGAGGCTGGCCAGTAAGAAGGTGGTGGAAGGGTCCGAGGGTGTACATGCAGTATGTGGTCCTATCTAGGAGCTGGCCTGCTGGGGTCCAGAGGGGCTGTGGCAGGCCCCAGGGTCTGGCAAGGGCCGGGAGGCTGGACCTGAGAGCTCAGGCGGAGAGTGAGCGAGGGCTGCGATGGGGACAGGGCCAGTGGTGGGGGATCGGGAGATAGCCCCTCTGCCACCAGGGCACTCCTTGGCCCAGGACCTTCCCCTTTCCTGGATTGGGTCCTGAACTCTCAACTCCTGTGCACACACCCTCCTTCTGGGCCAGTCCGTGGGGAAGGAGCAGTGGCTGGCCAGTGGGACCTTGTGGCTGAGCTGCCGTGCCGTCTCCATGGAAGAAGCTCTAGGCTGTGCTGCCACCAGAGTTCTGCCACTTAGGAGCTGCTTGGCCCAAGGACCGTCTCCTGGGCAACGCTGTGCTCTGCCTAGCAGTTGGGCCTGACCCGGGCTGTGCAGGTGGCCAGGTTCTGCCCATGTGGCCTGTCCGTTCTGTGCAGCGTGCCCCTCAGACCTGCGCAACTTCCACCCACCTACCTCCCTTCGTCACCCCCACTCTGCACAACCACTTCAAGGACTCGTGTGCCAGGTAATCCCTCCCTCCCCAGCCAGGCGTTCACTTTGTCCTATATGGCGCTGGACTCAAGGCCATGTAGCACGTGTCCGTGTTTGTATGTTAGAGGTATCAGGTGGGGAGGCTGCCCCAGCCCCATCAGGGTCAGGAGCCTCCAAGAGTCATTTGTTCACTGAACACCCACCTAGTGTTTTATAAGCACCTTCTGTGCTTTGACTTGGGGTTCAGTTCTGTTTTGAATCTCAGCTGTCATTTACTTGCTGGGTGCCCTTAGCCAAGTCACTTTTCTTCTCTGAACTTCCGTTACCTCATCATTAAATGGGGGCAACAATACTTACCTCATGTGGGTTTCCTAGAGGCTCAAAGGAGAAAGGAGATCAAAAGCACCGATCACAGACCTGGTACGAAGTGGGGACGTTTGATAGTGTTCACTCTCCTTCCCCACCGCACACCTTCTGCACGTCTCGCTGGATTCTGGGGGTGCCCAGAGGGAAGCAGGACTCCCAGCCTCAGGGAGTTCACAGTCCCATGACACTGCCTGGCAGTCAGGGCTCTGCCGAGGTGGTGCTGAGGGACATGAGTGAGCATCTCATAACCCGGCCCCCATGCAGCCCAGGCCTTGTTTAGCCTCTCAACTAGAGCGTACACATAAAACTGGCTGCGTCAGCAAGAGCTGATTCCAGCGTCTTCTTGGCTTGAAATAGGAAAAGGTTGGGTACTTTCAGATTTCTGCACATACTTATACATTCCTCCTATCTGCCTTCCCCACACCACCGGGCACCCAGGAATCTTGCACCGAGCCCACTTCAGGGTTCCCCCACCTCCAGTGGCATATCAGCGCATGAGTCCAGAATCAGGCTGTCTTGCTGGACTCTTGCCCCTGCATCTTTCTATATAAAGTGGTGCATGGACCAGCAGGTAGTCAGAAACACAGGCTCTCAACCCTGTCCACCCCCCCACCCCCAGCCACCTGCATCTATTAAATCAGAATCTTTTCTTTAAAAAGATCCCCCAGTGATTTGTGTGCACATTAAAGCTTGAGAAACTCTGATCTTGGAGACCTTGGGACATCAGCGGAACTCTCTGAACCTCAATTTCCTCATCCATAGAACGGGGAAATAATAATACCTACCTCATAGGCTAGTTGTGAGGATTCAACTAGATAGAGCATGTTAAGTAGTGCCTGGGGCATATTGAGTGCTCCTGAACTGTGGGTAACACCCACTCCTGCCCCGGGGATATACACACAGCAGGGAGTGGGGCAAGGGTAATACAGACAGGTGGGGGGCATGGGGGAAAGGAGAGAAATAAGGGACAGGTGAGAAATTAAGAGGCAGTGGATGGCCAGGTGTGGTAGTTTATGCCTTTAATCCCAGCACTTTGGGAGGCCAAGGTAGGAAGTTCGCTTGAGACCAGGAGTTTGAGACCAACCTGGGCAACATAGTGAGACTCCATCTTTACAAAAATTAAAAAAAAAATAGCTGGGTTTGTGGTGGTAGTCCCAGCTACTGGGGAGTCTGAGGCAGGAGGATCACTTGAGCTCAGGACTTTGAGGCTGTAATGAGCTATGATCATGCCACTGCACTCTAGCTGGGCAACAGAGTGAGGTCCTGGCTCAAAAAATTAAAAAAAAAACACCCAAACAACAACAACAAATCAGGCAGCAGATATAGAAAAGAAAGGGTGAGGAAGGCACAGAGAAATGGAGCAGAACGGAAGGAGAAATAGGGGGAAAGAAAGGGACAGGCATTGGAGTACATTCCTGTCTCATTTCATTTGGGCTGAGCTGGGTCCTGAGATGGGGGTAGGCTTGGGGGGGGGGGTGCCAGCAGTGAGTGGTAGGAACAGCTTGAGCCTTGCATCTGGAGGAGTTTCACCTCCTCCACTCCCTAGCTGTGTGACTTTGAAGAAGTTACTTCACCTCTCTGATTTGCAGTTTCCTCTTTTTTAATAACCTGGGTAACTAAACCTACCTGATACCTGAGTTGCTGAGTGGATGAAATGGGGCAGCAGATGCCACCACGTTCTGTAAACTCCAAGGTACTTTCTTTGTTATGCACGTGTTTTTGTCTTAGGAATCCTAGGCAGGGTACTTGGGTGACAGAAGAACTGCGTGAAGGAAAGATCAGGGCTGCAGTCCCTGGAGCACTGCGCCAGGGTGGTCAACCCAGGAGGCGACAGCGGACTGAACCTCCTTCCACCAGATGTCTCAGGAGGACCCTCGGTTCTCAGAACTCCGCACGTTCACTACCCTCAACCCGGCCTCCCCCTGCCACGCGCTCCCTCCGAAGCCGGGCAGCCAGGATATCTTTTCCCTTTAACACCGCCTCAAGCCATCTCTCCCAGCTTTTACCAGTGTGAGAGTGTTCCCGAGGAGAGGGCGGGGGAGCGCGCGCGCGTGATTGAGTGCGCCGACCCCGCGCCCCCAGGGAAGGTGCTGCCTGTGATGGGTTTGACCCAGGGGCTCGTCTCTGTGGGGTGAGCCTGGCAGGGGGGAACTAGAACCCGCCTCTCCCGCAACCTCTTCCCCACCCCTGCCGCTGCGCAACTCCTGGTGGCCGCTAAATCCCCGGCCAGAGCCTCGGCTTCCACCTCCGGGGCGTCAGCGCCATCTGCTGTCCACACCGGGAACTCCCCGCAGAGGAAGGGGCGCTGGGCGTCAGCGCTTGTGCCCCGCATTGGGCCAGGTGCTGGGGACGCCACACAGGCTCACTGACTGTTCCTGTGCAGCAGACACTCTGGTGGGGGGAGACGGACAATGGACCGGAGGCACGTAGATGGGCAAGATCATCTCAGGTCTTGATAAGTACTTTGAGCAAACCAGTAAACACGTGGGTGGGTGGAGGGTGACACTGTGAACGCGGGTGTGGTGTATGAGTGTAACACTTGAGCTGTGGCTCAGGAGATGGACAGCTACCCCTGCCAAGAGCTTGTGTGTGGGGGTGGGCATTCCAGAAGAGGGTACAACAGCAATAGAAGCCCGAGGAGGAAAGGAGTCCAGATGTTTCCATTTGTCACAGAGATTGGGGGGGCGGCGATGTGGGGGAAAGGCAGGCAAGAGTCACATCACGGGGAGACGTTCGGGCTAGGGAAGGAGTGTGACTTCATTCTCTGAGAAATAGGAAGCCACTGTTGGGGTTTTAAGCCAGGGGGATGGCTTGATTGTCTCTGAGCACTTCTGCTGTGGGGGAGGGGCGAGGATGGGGGACTGTCAGGAGGAGATGATGGTGAGAGGGGACTCATTGGGGGCTTGAGGAAAGGGGGTGGATTCTAAATACATATCAGAAGTAGCCCAGAACTAGCTGTTGGATTGCATGTGGGGTGAGGGAGAGGAAGATTTCAGGGATTTTGACTTGAGAAATGGGATAGACCCTTTACTCAGAGGAGGAGAATGGTGGCAGGGGTGGGGGACATAATCTGGGAGGGTATCAGGAGTTCTGCTATTGGTATGTTGTTCAGTTGGAGATACCTTTTCATTGTCTAAGGGAGGATGTCAGTAGAAAAGATGGAACTCAGGGAGAGGCAGGACTGTATATTGGTTGCTGGGATATGGGACAGGGATGTGCAGGCCGGTTCAGTGACCCTCAGGGAGGATGGGGAAACTTGGAGTTGTCTTAGCCTCTCCTTCCATCTCCCCTCCTGCTCTCACCCCCACCCCAGGTCTATACTCGCTATGGGAAGTGTTACACCTTCAACGCCGACCCGCAGAGCCCGCTGCCCAGCCGGGCGGGGGGCATGGGCAGTGGCCTGGAGATCATGCTGGACATTCAGCAGGAGGAATACCTGCCCATCTGGAGGGAGACAAGTACGCAGGCGGGAAAGGGACAAGGGCCAACCTTGGGACTCGGGCCTGGGCCCTCTGTCCGGGGTGGGTTTCCAAAGGTCCTCATCTCTGCTGTGCAGATGAGACGTCGTTCGAGGCAGGCATCCGGGTGCAGATCCACAGCCAGGAGGAGCCACCCTACATCCACCAGCTGGGCTTTGGGGTATCCCCAGGCTTCCAGACCTTTGTGTCCTGCCAGGAACAGCGGGTGAGCACCATAGCTGGACCCTGGGTTGGGCACAGAGCTGTGCCTTAGGGCTCAGAGGGGATGCTGACCAGACCTGCCCCCAGAAACTCACAGCCCACCAGCTGGCTGTGTGGACTTTCCTGGGGCTGCAGACACTGAAGGGCTGGGCAGGGCTCCTGGGCATGACCTCATCATGCCCCACCTCTGCAGCTGACTTATCTGCCCCAGCCCTGGGGCAACTGCCGGGCAGAGAGCGAACTCAGGGAGCCTGAGCTTCAGGGCTACTCGGCCTACAGTGTGTCTGCCTGCCGGCTGCGCTGTGAGAAGGAGGCCGTACTTCAGCGCTGCCACTGCCGGATGGTGCACATGCCAGGTGGGCTCCCCACCCCCAGCCAGCTCTTCGTACCACCCTGCCAACTCCAGAGCCTCCAGAGGCAGGGCACTGCTCATGTGCACAGGCAGAATGCATGTGTACAACACGTGTGCGTGTCTACATCTGTGCGAGTGTGCATGTGTATGCATTTGGGATTTTATGTTTTCACATATGCATTGGGAATGCAGGCACGCATATGCTTGTGTGCATGTTAATATGTGTTTGTGTATGCATGTGCTTATGTGCATCTGTGCTTGTATATTTGTCAGGGTTTGTGTGCATTTGCTCAGACACATGTATACAAACGTGTGTGTGCATACTAGTGTGCATATGTTTTTGTGCATATATGCATGTATGCATTTTCATGCTTATATGTATGAATGTGTATAAATTCATCTGAACGTGCAAACATGCATATTTGTGTGCATTGGGTATGTGGTGGAGGAGAGAGAAAGGATTGTAGATTCCAGGAATAATTTTCTCTCCTTTCAGGCAATGAGACCATCTGCCCGCCAAATATCTACATCGAGTGTGCCGACCACATCCTGGGTCCGTGCTGCCTTCCCCCTTCCCTGCTTCTGCAGCGCCCTCTGCCTGTCTCTGTCCACCTTCTCCTTACTGTCTTGGTGCCTCTCCTCCCAATCTCTCTCTGGAGGGTTCTTCCTGGGGGTTGAGCCTTATCCCATACTTCAGTGGGGGGGGGGGCTGAGGACCTCTGCAGGTGTAGACACTGGGTAAGTGGAGGTAGCAGCGTGGGGAATTGCAGAGAAGCCAGGACTGGGAGTCAAGGGCTGGGCTGCTCATCTTGGTTCAGCTAATGAGCTTACCCTTGCTGAAAGAGTGAAATGACTTCTCTCTTGGTCTCAGGAAAAATGCATTGGTGGCTATCGGTGTGGGTAAGGCAAGCCCCATCTGCCCACAGGTCTCACCTGATCTCCAATTCATCCATCCATCCATCCATTCATTGATTCATTCATCCAGACCTTTGCAGCCTGTGCTGGGTGCTGGAGGTGAGAAGGTGAGAGTGGGAGCAAGAGCGCTACCCTTGCAGAGCTCACAGCCCAGCAGGGCCGTGGACAGGCATTATGACACAGTGTGTCAGCTCTTGGATAGGGGAACCTCAGGGGTGCCACAAGGCCCCAGCCTCAGAAAGCAGGGAAGATTTCCAGAGAAAGGGACATATTAGCTGGCGCTTGAAGGCTGCATGAGTCAGCCAGGTGCAAAGGAGGACATGTGCTAAAGACCTTGTGGCCAGAGAGAGTGTGCTGTGTCTGGGGCACTGAAAGGTCAGTGTGGCTGGAGGGCAGAGAACAGGGAGGGAGTGGAAAGAGTGGAGGAGGGGCCTCAGGCAAGAAGGTGAGTCTGATGAGAGGTGGAATGGTATAGGAGGGAAGGAGGACTAGAAGCCCGGGACTGGCCGGGTGCTCACTGCAGCAATCCAGATGTGCTGGGATCCTGGGGATGGGTTTGAGAAGCTGGGCAGCGGAATCCCACATCCAGACCTTCTCTGTTTCCCATGCCACCTTCACCTGTCAAAGAGGTAATTGAAGAGGGTTCAGTGAAGGAACAGATGATGTGAGCAGGGGTAAGGGAGCCACAAGGCATGGTGAGGGTCCACAGAGCTAGCAACACCTGGGAGCCTTCACCCCTGTATCCCTAGGCCTGTAGGGTAGAGAAGGGGAGCTCTGTGTAACCCAGAGAGAGACCTGTGGCATCTGAGAGGACCAGCTGACAGCAGCATGGCTGGAGGAATGCAGTGAGGAAGCTAGAGGAAGAAATATTCTGCCCGCCCACCCTCTGATTCTGCTGGGGCCTCCTGAACCGGACCCAAAGCCAGAGGGCAAGGGAGTCTAGGTGACGCACTTGGCAGAGATCAGGCTCTTGATCTGGGGCTCAGAGCAAGGTGGAGAAGGGAGGAGAGTGGATCTGAAGGGGCAAGCAGAGAAAACCTAGCACACCAAGCATGTGGATCCTGTCTATCCATCTGCCCATCGATCTGTCCATCTGTCCATCCACCCATCCATCTCAGCATCCTTTCCACACCTCCTTGTGTGTCTGAGGCCTCATGTAGTCGATTAGTTCTGGTGGATGGGTTCTGCCCTCCCTCTGAGCCATGAGGACCTTCCTGTCCCAGGGTGCTGGAAGGGTGCTGGGGGGTTCTGCTTACACCTGCTTTTTTGGGTTGTGGAAGCTGGTCCAGGAGGGGACCCCCAGCCAGTCTCCTCTAGGAAGTGCCACAGCTGGCCAGTAAAGTCCCTCATGTGGACCTGCCTGTGCCTCCTCCCTGAAGCTCGTGGGCCTTTGGACCTCCCCACGCCCCACCCTATTCCCACTGCAGTTGGTGCCTCTGTGTTGCAGACTCCCTGGGTGGGGGCTCCGAGGGCCCATGTTTCTGCCCTACCCCCTGCAACCTGACACGCTACGGGAAGGAAATCTCCATGGTCAAGATCCCCAACAGAGGCTCAGCCCGGTACCTGGCAAGGAAGTACAACCGCAACGAGACCTATATACGGTGCGTGTGTGCTCATGCCTGGGCACGGTGGAGACTGGAATTGAGCTGCATCTTTGCTCAGGATGAGCTTTCTGCCGGGAATGTTTCTCACACTCCTTTTCTTCTAACTAACCTCTACCCATCGTTCAAGTCACAGCCTGTGTCTCCTCCTCCAGGAGGCACTTCCCGGTCCAAACACCTCATCTGAGTTCCCACAGCACCCTGTATATATCTCTGTCATTCCATATGCCCCATTGTTTTTGATGTCTTTGTTTATGTGTCTTTCTCCCTGGCAACCTGGGAGCCATTAAATGCTCGGGAGTGCGTGTGCGGTGTGGAGGGAAGGCACAGGATGGGGTGGGAGGTGCACAGGTCCTGCAGGAGGAGGCAGGAGGGGCTCTGCTGATCCTTGGTCTGAACCCTGCAGCCATGAGACCCTGCAGGTCCCACAGAGACCTGTGGGAGGGTGCAGTCTGGGCAGGAGGTCATTAGAGAGCAGCAGCAAAGAAAGCAGCTTGAATATAAAGGTGCAGTGGGACAGGGCACAGGCAGCTTTGAAAGTGAGGAATTTTGGAGTGGACTAATGGGCAGTAGGGAGCCACTGAAGGTTCTAGAGAGGCATAAGGATGAGGCAAAGTGAACACTATCTGCTGCTTCAAGAGGGAATCCTTCAGGAGTTTCATTTTGCTGTCCAGGTCCTTTGCTACCTACTCCTCAAAATAAGAAGCTAACACACACCTGGGACCACCTCCCCTCACAGCCTTGGGAACCCGAGGGCATGGCCACAGCTTCTCAGGGCAGGGAGTCTCAGATCAGGATGCCCACCAGCTGCCTCCTATGAGGAGCTGCCCGAGTGGCCCCACATGGACATACACTTCCTATCTCCACAGGGAGAACTTCCTGGTGCTAGACGTCTTTTTCGAGGCCCTGACCTCTGAAGCCGTGGAGCAGCGAGCAGCCTATGGCCTGTCGGCCCTGCTGGGTGAGACACGGCCCTGCCTGCCTGCAGCGTGCGTGGGGTGGGCCGGCCTGGCCTGCTTCCTCTGACCCTGCTCTCCTGCCCCCAGGAGACCTCGGGGGACAGATGGGCCTGTTCATTGGGGCCAGCGTCCTCACGCTGTTGGAGATCCTCGACTACATCTATGAGGCAAGGGCCCCGGCCAGGGGGGTGGGGGGTGGGGGAGGCTGTGGGAAAAGCAGAGGGGGCAGCACGGGCGCCCTGCTGGGGCTGGTCTGGCTACCCTGAGTACAGGGAAGGCCTGAGGGCCCTGAGGAGCCAGAAGGGGATCGGTAGGCAGGAGGGTTACTAGGGGTTTGCTGTGGCAGCGAGTCCTCTGAGCTGGGCCTGGGAAGGCCCTCCCTTCTCAACCAAATTTCCTGAGCCCACTGCTGTCCCCCACCCTGAACCCCAAGGTGTCCTGGGACAGACTGAAGCGGGTATGGCGGCGACCCAAGACCCCCCTGAGGACCTCCGCTGGGGGTATCTCCACCTTGGGGCTGCAAGAGCTGAAGGAACAGGTGAGAACAAGCCCTGTGGAGTGCGGAGCCAGCACCCTCTCCCTGGGGCGGGGAGCCCCATTGTTTCTGGACTAGCCCGTGGGAGGAAGGTCAAAGGCTGGCTGAGCCAGGCTGGGGCACCACTGGAGCTCTCCCTGCCCCACTCTCTCTTCATCTTGCAGAGTCCCTGCCCAGGCCGGGGCTGTGCTGAGGGTGGGGGGGCCAGCAGCCTGCTCCCCAACCACCACCACCCGCATGGCCCCCCAGGAGGCCTCTTTGAAGACTTCGCTTGCTAGAATGGTGCTGTGTCTGAGAGGACCCAGGAATCTGGGACCCCTCCCCAGATCCCCAGCAAATTCTCCTCCTGCTCCTGAGACAGAGGCTGAGGGGAGGGGGTGGTGCTCCCTGGGAGGGCCAGGACTCAGTTCCTCTCTCATCCTACCCGGGTGTCAGCTGCTTTGCACAAGGGTCCTTCTTGTTCTCCCCCACCCCCCAGCTGGTGCCCAGGGAGGGCTGGAGACCAGACTGTGGTCCCCTGTGGAGGGGAAGGGAGGGAAGGAGAGAGGGAGGTGGAAGATAGAGCCCACCCCAGCAGGGGTGGGACCCTCTGTACATTTGTATATATTTAGGGAGGACTGGGTGGGGGTGGGATACAGATATAGAAGGTGGGTGGGGCTACAAGGGTGGGTGATTCAGGCACAGCCAGGGTCCCAGCCCAAATGTCAGCAGGAGACCGGGAGCCCCAAGAACTCAGGAGTGCTGGGCGGGGCTGCCCTTTCCGGCCCAGCCTCCCCTCTTGGCAGGGGGAGTGTGTAGCCCAGCAGGCCTGGCCGAGCTCCCAGTTCCCCCTGCACCAACCCCACCCCCAGAGTCCCTCCACAGGGAGCAGGCAGGAGACCTTTCTGACCTTGGCTAATCTGGAGGGTGGGAAGGGAGCCTTCTCAGGCCACTCTCCCTCCAGTCTCATTTTATAAAGTGCTGACAAAATTGGGAATAAAGAAGCATAAAGAATTCTGTGTATGTGTGACCAAGCACGTGCTGGGGGCTGGGGAGGGGCTGGGTACACGCATGACTTGGTCTGGGGTGGAAGGAAATGCAGGCCCCAGCAGGGACAAGGGAAGCCTCCATGTGTAGTCAACCCTCCCTCCCCCAGGCTCACTTTCAAAGCCTCAGAATCACTAGTCCACTCTCAGCCGGTTTATTAAAGGCAGGCAGCTTCATTAGGGGCCCAGAACAGAAAAGTTGGGAGATGCCCTGCCCCCCCTCCCTCAGCTCCCCCTTCCTCAACAACTCATCTACAGCCCAGCCCCCAGGGCCTGACCCCTGAGGTGGGGCTGGTGTCAGGCAGACTGTACTGCATAAATATACGGAGGCCACAGCCCGAATCAGCAGTGTCAAGGGGCAGAGAGACTGGGTTTGGGGTAAGAAGGGGGTGGTTCTGGGGGCGCTTCCCCCAGGGCTTGTCCTGAGCCCAAGTACTCATAAAGCCAGAAAGAGGGGACCAGTGGGCTGCCCTGGGGGCTGAGTCCTTGGCCAGCCCTGTCCGGCGAGGCTGGCAGGTGGCTCCGGTTGTTGGGGAGGAGTGAGATGGGGTGCGGCTGTGCCAGGGCTCAGGGGCACAGGGTGGGGTCAAGTGCTGTTGCCCTGCTCCTGCTCAAAGAGCAGCATGGCCAGTTGGGTTCGGGAGCCGAGGCCCTCGAGCATGCTCTGGCGGCAGCGGTGGTACAAGTCCTCACTGAGCCGTGCACTGCACGTCTGGGCCCGGTAGCGCTGCAGTAGTGCTGGCTCCACTGCCCGCAGCACGTGCAGGCCAGAGAAGCGCAGGAACAGCTCGTACACATCCAGGCTCTCCAGCAGCTCCTCCTCCTGCTCCGAGGCTGCTGCTAGCCGGCCTCGGGCTGCCACATAGTCGGAGTTGTAGAAGCAAGCCTCACTGGCCGCCTGGCGATCAAAGTGGCCTGTGTCTCGGCCCAGCTCCGGTGGCCCCGGCCCTTGTGGTGGGGCCACAGCTGGGTGGAAGGCTTGGAAGTGCATGGGGAAGAAGGCCTGCCAACCGGAGATGGCATGCATGCGGCAGCGGTTCAGGAAGTCAGGCGTGAGCACCGTGTCTGGCCCGGCCAGCAGGAACAATGTGTCCAGCGGGTGCTTCTTGGAGAGCAGATCCATGAGGCGTAACGGTGAGGGCGCGGCTGTCTGCACACTGAGCCATGGCACACGGGTACCGGGGAAACGCCGCTCCAGCTCTGCCACGTGGGCCTTGACAGGTGCGAAGACATCTGCATGTGCCGCCCGCTGGGCCTGGCGTGGCTCATACAGTAGCAGCAGGGTCAGGGCTGCTGCAGCATCACCTGGCTCTAGTGCTGCAGTGGCAAAGGCCTCCAGGAAGCCAGGGGCCAGGTCACGCTCGGCAGCAGCCAGAGGCAGCAGCACAGTGAGACGTGAGGCCTCGGTGACATAGGGTACAGGCAAGATTTCCACGCGGCTCAGTGGCCGAAGCAGCTGCACCCGGCGGGTAAGGGGCCGCCGGCCACCCTGTGGGGTTAGGGCCTCCAGCTGCAAGTCCAGCGTGTATTCCATACCGCGGGCTGGATCAAAGCGTCGGTACCCATTAACCAGCTGCTGCTTCTGGAGCAGCAGGGCCGGGTGGTAGCGGCGGTTGAGCTCTTCCAGGGCTGCCCCTAGGACATCGGCCACATCAGCCTTGTCAGCCCCACGCAGTGGGCAGCGAGGCGAGCCATCAGCACAGGAGAAGGCATGCTGCTCCGTGAAGTAGTCCCAGCGCAGCACCTCGAAGCGGGAGGCTGGGCGGGATGGTGCCGGGATGCCCACAGGCCAGGCAGCTGCCCGCTCCCCATCAGCGGCCAGACGGCTGGTGTTCTGTATCTCCCGCTGGGTCGGAGAAACAGGCCATGAGCAAGGGAGAGACCAGAGAGGCCAGCACACAGCTGGGGGACAAGGTAGGCCACAGGTGCCACTCAGGATGGGTCTCCAGTCCTCTGCCAACCTCTGCCCGCCCAGGGTCCTCACCTTTCCTTTCCCCAGATGGAGACAGCCTAAGAGTTAAAAGGAAGGTTTCTGGAAGCTCCTCAGAGAATGTGGAAACAGACAGGGACTGGGAAGTAGGTTTGTTCTGTGATTTTGGCACCATCTTTTTTCTTTCTCTGGGATCTCTGAGACCTCTCATATCCTGTTCCCCTCACCACTTCTTCTCTGCCCACCACCCCCAAGCCCAGATCATACCTGCAATTCCTGGATCTCCTGGTACGTGCGTTCCAGCTCAGCTCGGGCAAAAGCCTTGTGCAGCTGATACATGTGCACAGGGTCATGCACAGGGTAGGCTGTCAGGGCACTGCGGAAACGAGGGTCCCCCTCCTGCACGGGTTCCCCAGGGCTCAGCTCCAGATAGCTATAGTGCACCCCCTGGGGAGAGGAAGGGAAGGGGTCCACAATGGGATGGGATTGCCTTCCCCCTTGTCTCACAGCATCTCATTTCCTGTTCCTATGACCTGTGGCGGACTTGGAGTCACATTTCTGTGGGTTTAAGTCTACCTCAACCAGTTGTGAGTTTGTGTGACCTTGGGCAAGCTTCTGCTAGCTCATCTGTGAAATGGCATGTATCCTGTTTCAGAGCTGTCCAGGGGCTCAAATAAAATAACTAACATTGCATGCCTACTCTATGTAAGGCTTCCTTATTTTCTCTAATCCTTATAACAACTCTGAGCAATAATTACTTCCTTTGGCATGGATGAGGACACTGGTGCTCAGATTTAGCAATTTACCCAGGGTGACAGGGATAGAAAATGACAGAGCTGGCATGGAAACCCAGGCCTGTATCTCCACCACCTCCTCTTTGCCTCTCAGGGGGAAGTGCACAAACTCAGATAGGAGGCACCAGTGGGGTGGCTTATCACCCCACCTCATGGTCGCCAGTGCAGCCCACCCCGGTGGCATCGAGAATGCAGCGTCCCAGCCACTCGTCGGGGTGTGCACTGACGATGTCGTTGCGGCAGCCTTCCAGGTGGGGGCGCAGCTGCTGCAGCAGCGTGCGCGACAGCAGCACTCCAAAGCCACCGTGGCAGTAACGGCCTGGCGTGGGCTCTCCGCCAATGAAGTCCTGGGGCCGGCCCAGATACAGGTGGGCAGCGGAGGCCAGGCTGAGACGGCCAGTTAGGCGTGCCAGTCCGTGCGCCTCGGTGTAGGTGGCGTCAGGCACCAGGAAGAACCAGTCAAAGTCATCGCCGTGCTGCTCCAGTAGGTGGCGCAGTGCCAGATGCAGGTGCCCGATGGGACGTTCCTCGCCCAGGGTCACCACGGCCATGCCAGGTGGTGCCCGGCGACCCCGTGCGCCTGTCAGGAACACCACACGCTCTAATCGGTGCCCCAGTGTGCGGTTCACGGCCACACCCAGCGTGGGCAACGTGGCCTGTGAGGTCAGCACTGCCACAAGCAGCCTCTGCCTGATGCCCAGCTCGGTGCTGATGTAGCGGGTCCTGAGGGAGAGGAAGGCACAAGGTTATCGAAGAGAAAACAGGGCAGGCAAGGGACCGCACACACAGACTCCGGCAGGTCATGTCTTCTCTGCGTCTTCTCACCTATGAATAGGATAAAAACAAAACCTCTCTCTTAGGGGTCATAAGGATTTAAGCCAAATATTGGTCTTACCTACACAGTGCTTTACATTTGGAAAATGGCAATATCCATACAGATATGAGATAAATTGTGGGTCTTACTACAGGTTTCACTACTTAGTAGTTGTGTCCTTGAACATGTTATTTAATCTCAGCCATCTGTAAAATGGGACTGATTGTGTCTATTTAAAGCACCTAGCCAAATGCTTGACACACCACATACTTATTTCTACATAAATATGCCACTGTATGACAAATATCACACATAAATGATATAAAGGAATGTATGGCATAGGAATGAGTATGTTTTTTGGAGGGCCAAACTGGGACTCAGGGGTTCTAGTAACTTACCTTTACCAGGCATAAGGTAAGTTGCAAAACTGGAATTTGATCCCTGTGTTACTCAGAAATTATTTCAAGTCATCAGCAGAGACATAAATGGGATGGGTGTATTCCTCCTTCCCCCACTGCACCCTGAGGTGGCCCTTGTAGCCCAGTCAGGAACGAGGTACAGGTAAATCCTAGTTCTCTCCTTTCTCTTTCCCTCTCTCTACACACTGACTTTATATACCAGTCAGTTTCCTAACCTCAGTGGCCCAGCCAAGGGGCTAAGAGGATCTTTGGGTACCATCAGATAGAGCTGGTTTAGGACAGTGGCTGGCAAGTTCAGCCCAGGCCGGGATGGGGTCCAGAAAAAGGTCAGACTGGCCCCACAGCTCCGGGAAAGCAGGGCCATCGGAAGTTATCACGGCCCAAAGACTTCCTGGCCGGCCAGCCCCTTCCTTCCGGAGCCCGACCCGGCCTCTGGCGGCCCTGCGCGCGCCTCCCGGCCGGTGCTCAAGAGGGTGGAGGGGGCGTAGCGGATCTCTACCTGACGGCCTTTTTGGCGGCCTGGCCGGGCTGTGCAGGGTGGTAGGGCAAGACACGCGGCTCCCAGTTCTCCGCGCCGGCCCCGGGCCTCTCGCGCTCCGCTCCGGGCTGCACCGAGTTGGGCCGGCGCGCTGCATTCGTGTTGCCGCGCGGCGGCAGCTCAGGGTCTCCAGATTGGGGCGGGCCTGGGCCGCACGGCTCCTCCACCCAGGTGACACTGAGCAGGCTCAGAGTGAAGCCCAGGGAGATGCCCACGGCCACGGGCCCTGCGGGCCGTAGCACAGACAGCAGCAGAGATGCCCGCATGGCGCCCGGACCGTGGGCCCCGGGCCCGGGCGAAGCCGCAGAGCAGCCAGAGGAGGCTCCGAGGGGGCGGGACCGGGGAGGGGGCGGATCCGGAGCCCGGGCCCAGCGGGCGGACCCGCTCCCTCCTAGCCGAGCAGAGCCAGCAGCCCGAGCCGAATCCCCGGCGCCGCGCGCGGATCCCCCTCCGGCCGCTGCTCGGTACTGTGC